GGAATGTCGAGGGTGTTTCAGCAACTCATCTGAATCCTGCAGGCTGTCTGAGCAGACGGTGCAATGTACTGGAGCAGAAACTCGCTGCATGAATGTGTCAGGCATTCAAGCTGTGGGTATGTTTGGGATACCCCTCAGCGGAGGACATCTCGGTCCAGTGGCGGGGTGGGGGGCAGGAGAACCCACCGTAACCTCTGCACTTGGGAGGGTGCACTGGCCCCGGTGTACTGGACCCAACGTTAAAATTGCACCTGGCGTCACCGATGATAGAAAAACACTGGAAATCCGCGATTAAAGTAGTAAGGTCTGGCAGCGTCCGTGCAGAGAGGGACCAGAGCTCACGTTTCCAGCCCATTAACACTTGCCTTCAGTCCATCAAAGAGATAAGACATACCAGGTGCAAAATGTTAGCTTCCTTTCTCTCTTTCCACCGATGCTAATAAAGTGCCGAAGGAGAAAGTGCAGGTGTTGTTCCTTAAATTTGCATTGTGCCTCTTTGGAACATTGCAGTGAGTCCAGGATAGAAATGTCAGTAGCAGGAGAGCAAGGGTGGTTTTTGTTTTGAGATGGCAAGCAACTGGGCCATTTCCTACAAACAGAGCAGAGGTGTTCTGCAAAGCAGTTACCCAGTCTGCTGCATTTCGTAGAATCCCAACTATATTGAATCAGGCCATTCGGCCCATCAAGTCCACATTGCCCCTCTGAGCAGCATGCCTCCCAGACCCAGCGCCCTCCACCCCCGGCTCTATTCCTGTAACCCTGCATTTCCCCATTACTAATCCACCCTAGCCTACACATCCCTGGACACGGCCAATCCACCGTAACCCGCACATCTTTTGGACTGTGGGAGGAAACCGGAGCACCCGGAGGAAACCCACACAGACATGGGGAGATACGTGCAAATGCCACAGGGAAAGCCACTTCAGGGTGGAATGGAATCAGACCCAGGTCCCTAGCGCAGTGAGGCAGCATTGCTAACCACTGAGTCACTGTGCCATTTGGTCCCACCAGTATTAAGGAGACAGCATTATGAGCGGGTGGGTACAGTTGATTAGATTCAATGCCTAGATGGTTGCTCTGGGATCCTTGGACAGTTAGAGAGCTGGATGCGAATGGGTAAGTGTTAGCTCCTGTGATCTCGTGTTTGGAGGGAGGGAAGAGGGGGCGTTTATTTATTCATTGACAATGACGGCTGGGTCAGCATTTATTGCCCATCCCTAATTGGTGTTTACAATCAACCACATTTGCTGTGGGTCTGGAGTCACATGTAGACCAGACCGGGTAAGGATGGCAGTTTCCTTCCTTAAAGGGCACCAGTGAACCAGACGGGTTTCCTCATTCGGCTCCTAATTCTACATTTTAATTCTACAAATTGTAGTGGGATTCGAACTCAGGTCCCCAGAAACATCACCTGGGTCTCTGGATTAACAGCCCTGTGATAATACCGTTAGGCCATCGCACTGTGTACTGGCCCTGTGTCTCCTGTTATAACCAGCAATGACAGTTACACCATCCCCTGGCCCTTTCTAACATTTGTCCCGTCTGTCTGTAGTGTCAACTAGACAGCAGTTCTTTGCCAAAGGCTGCGTTTCCAAGCGAGTCTGCCAATCCTTTGGCAGATTGTCAGACATCCGAATCCAGTTTGACGACGCTCCCAAGTGTTGCTCCAGTGACCTCTGCAATGGTGACTTGGGCGGAGGAACATCCACCAGGAAGCCAGGTAATGTTGTGGGGTCATTGAGGCTGGTGGGGTTAGAGGGAGGGAGGGGGTCCTAATGTTGATGGAGGCGTGGAGCGCAGACCCAGGCTTGTGCTTAAAACAAGTAAAACCCGGAGAGAAAGAAAGGGGAGAGTAAGTGAGGAAGGCGATGTGAGATTGAGAGAGGACAGAAGGAGCAAAAGGAGAAGGGAAAGAGACAGGAGAGAAGGGATGTAGGAATGGTTTGGAAATTATATAAATAAAAAAGACCAGAGGATATAGAGGTCTCAACACAACAATGATAGATCCAACAGGAGAGCTGTTTTAACTGTTTGTCGTCCCCAGGCACAGGAGGGCTGGTCACCAGGGGACGACTGCACTCAGAGGCCCAATATGGAACATCAGAACCATTGGTTAACATGGGATCTCTTTACAATGGCAGTACGGTCAGTCCCCACAAGGACACAACTGTAGACAACTGGGAAAAGAACAGGACGGGAGGTGTGGGATGGAAGAGGACAATTTGATTTTTGACACAAAGTGTCATCGTGATCTGGGATGCGGAGCCTGAAAGGGAGCAGATTCAAAAGGCTTGATGAGGGGGTGCTGAATGGCCTCCTCCTGTTCCTGGATAACAGGCTCACAGAGGGGGCTGAATGGCCTCTTGCAGTTCCTGAGT